AGAGAGAAATGAGTATTTTTCAAGAAGAAATTTTTTTAAAGTTATTGAGCGTCTACCTAGAATAGCCTTTTTCAATATGAAAATTTTTTAAAGTTTTTGAGCTTCTACCTAGATAAACCTTTTTCAAGATGAAAAATTTTTTAAAATTGTTGAGCCTCTGCCTAGAGACAGATGAGCCTTTTTCAAAATGAGATTTGTTTAAAGTTATTGTTGAGCCTCTACCTAGATAAGCCTTTTTCAAGATAAAATTTGTTTAAAGTTATTAAGCCTCTACCCAGATGAGCTTTTTTCAAGCTAAAAAATTTTTAAAGTCGCTAAGTCTTTACCTAAATGAGCATTTTTCAAGATAAAAATTTTGTTAAAGTTGTTGAGCTTCTACCTAGAGCAGGTTTTTTTCATATAAGAATTTTAAAGTTGTTGAGCCTCTACTTAAATTAGCCATTTTAAGTTTTTAAAAGTTGTCGAGCCTCGAGTAAAAGGAGCATTTCGATTTGATCTTTAAAGTTTTTTAGTTTTTAATGAGATAAGCCATTTGATTAGTTTAGATCAATTAGGGAAAAAAAATCTCTTTAGACTCCGAACAAAATTGTTATTTTTATCTTTGCCCTATTTTTTATTCTCAACAATGCATAAAAAGCGACAACTATAGACACCAAATTTGTCTAAATTTTTGTTTAAATTTTTTGGTTCTAATGAGTTTACAAGTCTAAACCTGGTTTTTTTTCTAAGTTCAGGCCTAATGTTTAATTTTTAACTTTAATTTTATTATTTATATAAGAATACAATAACTAATAATTAATTAAATATTAATAATAATATACAAAATAATAATAATAATAATAAAAATAAAAAATGAAAACAAAACAAAACAAAAACCATAAAAAAGCAAAAGACAGGGTGCTGTTGCTAATGGTTATCATACACAACACCACTGGCCACCTATCCTTGTGCCCTTATACAACCCATTGTCTCTCATACCCCAATTCCCTAAAACTCAAGCACCATACCTTTAAAAGTTACCTACCCATACCCTACAACCTAACGACCTATTCACCACGTACTATTCTAAGCCATTCTATAAAAATCCCAGCTAAGAACTCGTTCGGGTTAGTGAGAGACACAAAAAAAATGACCCAGTAACCTCTAAGCACCAACACTGACACTGTACCTCTGAACACCTACCAAAAAACTACCTCTTTTTCCAAAACCCATACAGGTCACCCACTGGCCCTCTCTAATCGAGCCTAAACCTTACACAAACCCTTACCCAAGCTACACAACCTTAACCCTTAACCCCAGCACCCTTTTTCTCCTAAAGCCTCAGATCTTGGCCTTCATCCATACGCATCCAGCGTTAGACACCCACCAGAACTTCCCCCTTTCACAAGTTCAAAGCCTTTTCACACCAACCATGGCCTAAGTGCCCTAGCGATAGCCCTATTCAACCATTACCCCAAGCCTCTAAAACCAAACCCTACCAACACATGCATCCCACGAGAATACCTACACACCCTTATAACACCTAGAAACCAAAAGTTAGCTTCCCCATAGCCCTTCTGCTTCCAATCGACCACCACCACAAACCCAAGAAAAAAATCAAATCAAAACCCTTAAAAAAATAGTCCTTTGGTGGGGAACCTAGCTCCGCACGATGTGCCTAAAGTAAAAGAAAGAAGTTAGTATCATCAAAAAATAAAAAAATCAAAATCAACAAAAAATAAAAAATAAAAAAAATATAAGCTATGAAACTTAATCTACACCAATCGAGGTTGTTCCCGATGAAAGGGAAACCAAATCTGAGCTTAAAGGGCAAATGGAAGTCTTTTGACATTTTCTTGGTTTTCCAACGACCAGAAGTAGCTTCAACGGCTAGGCAACGATGGCTTGTATGACAGCCAGCTCCCCATTTTGTTTGAGAGAATTTTGAATTTTTTTTTAAACTAATGAGAAATAAGCTAAAACAAAAAAAAAATTGCCTTTATATAGAAGACTAAGCCTCAAAATGACATGTTTGATCGATCCTGTTTAGGTTTTTTTTAATTTTTTAATTTATTTTTTTATATTATTTTTGTTATTTTAAATTTTGTCATTAAAATTTATGCATGTTAAAATGTTTAAATTTTGTTATAATAAAATTTTTTAATTAGTAAAAATGAAAACAAAAAAATAGATAAATTAAATTAAATAATGGAAAATATAGTTAAAATTTTGATAATTTTTATGAAAATTTAGGATAAATCTTATAAAATAATAATAAAAATAATAATAATAACAATAATAATAATAATTAATGATTATTATACCAATAATAATAAAAAAATGGTTTCTAACCTTTGATAATTTTTTTAAGATTAAAAAAAGGAAAAATAACCAAAAATTAAATTAATAAAATTAATAAAAATAGTAAAAATAATAAAAATAACAAAAATTAGTAAAAAAGTAAGAAAAGGAAATTTTATTCGATAATGAAATTCATAGGTATTTCGAGTAGTGATACCTACGAAATCTCTAGGTGAGAATTCTTTTTAAATACTATCAACATATTTGAGTATTTATAAAATGTTTTCAATACAATAAAAATTTTCCTGTTTTAGCTATAAAATAGTAAATAAAAATAAACTAATTTGTTAAAAATAAAATAATAAAAAATAAAAGGAAAAGAAATCTTTACCCGATTATGAAATTTTAAGATATTCTGAGTAGTAATGCCTTAAAAATATCTAGGTGAAAATTTTTTTTTTAAATACTACCAGTGTATTGGAGTATTTATAAAAACTTTTAAATATGATAAAAATTTCTCTTTTTTTCAAAACAATAACAATAATAATATATAAAAATAAATAAAATTTTTAAAAGGAAAATAAAATGTGCACATCAACATATTATCATTTGCATTGTTTGTATGACATGATTTTTTTGAAAAGTAAATACGAACTTTCGAGGATGGAATTTTAAAGTATTTCGATAAACGATACCTAAAAAATCTCTAGATGAAAAAAATTTTTTCTAATATTACCAACGTAATTGAACATTTTAACAATTATTTCAATAAAATGGTTCCAATTTATTTTTTCGAACAAAACGGAACAACAAAAAATGTAAATAAATAATAAAAAGATAATAAAAATTAAAAAAAATAAATTTCAATAAACGAAAGAAATTTAGGAAATTATTTTCAAATACCGAAACTAAGATTGTTTTTATCAAAATCAAAGGATAATATACATTTAATTGGTACTGTTTTAAAAAGGCATTGTGGGGGGTATTAATCATTTCCTATACATAACCAACTCTCGAATTCACCCTCTCTCACAAACCCTAAAATTATTTTTTTAATAAATTTTAATTAATTTTAAAATTTTATTAAAATAATATATTTTAATAGGTGGCAAACAAAAATTGGTGACGACTCTGTTTTCTGTTCCTTTTCAATTTGTTTTTCAAATTTATCAGGCGGCTCCAAAATTATTATGACAAATGAAATTTGTGAAATTTTTTAAAAATGATTTAATAAAAATATATAAATTAATAAATTGATACAATTTAATGTAAAAATCAATAATATGTAAAAAAAATTAAAAATATTATTTATAATTTAAATTTGATCAATATTTAAATTTTGTCAATATTTTTATTAAAAATATCTTTCTAAAAAATATATCAAAATTTTTTAAATTTTACATACTTAATTTATATAATAAAATTTTTTTATTTATAAATTTTAATTTTTAATTAATTATTTTTATTTTTAAAAAAAAAACCTTTACTTCAAATTCTTTTCAACAAATAGATACCCTTTAAAAGTAACGGCTAGTGGGGTCTGTTCTGTCTGTCATCTCTCCCGTGAAAGGGGCAACCCTAGCTAAAGCTTCTTATCTTTTTTTGCTTTAGCTCTTTTAAGCAAAACGTAAAACAAGTCTCAACTTCCCCATTTAATTATGCTCTTCTTCTCAATCATTTGCTTCACGTCATCAACCGGCTCAAGCCATCCCCCTCTAACCTTTATGCTGCTCGCTCCTTCTTTGCTCACTTGCATCTGATTTATACTTACATTTAGAGTACTAGAATACAAATATTAATAAGGTAAGAACAAATGCTGATGTAACTTGCTCAAGAATTATTTCATAACATGAATAGCGTGAGTAATATGATAACATAGATATAATGAATTTAATACATTATTACTTTAAATTTTGATTAATAGACAAAACACAATAATTAATGCAAAAAAATTTTATAAGAATGGAGCATTCTTCCAAAGTGTTGGGTATCTTTTATTATTAATTACTTAACTTTAAGATACACAATTTTTAATCATAAATTCTACTTAAAAATTCATCTTCAACTATTTGGTTTAGTGACCAAGTAAGCTTTAAGAAGACATAGGACTGGGATTCGACCTCAGCCTCCTCCCTCCCCCTTGATGTAGGGCTCTAACCCCTTGAAACCAAAAAAAAAAAATGAAAACTCTACTTAAAAGTTCAAACTCCAAAACCATGCATATATATATATATATATATATATGCAATTAATGGTGGCTTTTCTTCTTTCATTTCCCACATTTTTTATTTTTAAGTGGCCTCTGGCAAAGGTACGTAGTGGTAAACTTGGCATCGCCAAAGCAAACTACAGCTCGATCAGCAACAGCCAAAAAGAAAAAGCATGGGACTCAATTTTGGCAATGCAATTGGGTCTTTACACTTTGAAGCAGCTAAAGGATATGCGGCTACAGGACAACGCGAAGCTTAAAAAGGCAAAAGCTATGAAATTAAAACGCCTAGATAAAGGTTCCAGCTCATCAAATGCTTCACCCCCACAAAATATCCGGGGCAGTTTGTTCATCAACAGCTCAAAGCCATATGAACAAAGCAAGTTATGTGTGCCATCATCAAATCAACTTCAAATTCTCTCTCTCTCTCTCTTTCGTGTGTGTGTGTGTGTGGATATATATATATGTATGTGTAAGGGAGCTGAATGCAAAGAAACAAATATATATAAGCTCTTTCTTCTGCTCTAAGCTGACCCATATCCTAAGCTAAGAGAAAGAGATTCACACCAACAATAATGGCAAACATCCATGATCATTGCTTCTCTGTTGCTTTTGGCCTTCTTGGTACAAAACTCATTGATAACCTCTTTCAATTAATTTCCTTTCAAAATAATTATAGTGCTTGCTATTTGTATATGTCTTTCTTTTCTCTGATTCTTTTCATTTTGTGCAGGAAATATTTTTTCGTTCCTTGTTTATCTTGCCCCATTGTAGGTTTTCTACTGATTCTCATGCTCTCGTCTAAGTGTATATTTATGGATTTATTTTTTATTGTTTGTTTGAATATTAACAATGTTACTTTCTTCTGCTTTTCTTCGAATTAAGGCCAACTTTCTACAGGATTTTCAAGAAGAAATCAACAGAAGGTTTTCAATCCATACCATATTCAGTTGCACTTTTCAGTTGCATGTTGTTGCTCTACTACGCCTTCCTCAAGAAACATGATGCAGTCATGCTCATCACCATTAACTCAATTGGCTGCTGCATTGAATCCATATATCTTTGCTTCTACATGGTTTATGCAACCAAAAGCGCCAGGGTACGTATAACATCTTCTTTTGTCGACCTCTCCTTTAAAGCTTCTCTCTGGAATTCATCTTCATCATCGATCTTTTTTCAAAGCTACTACTACTTTGCAGATATACACGACAAAGCTGCTCATATTTTTCAACATTGGGGCATCAGGATTAATCATACTTGTAACATTATTATTTTCAAAGGGCTCTCATCGAATTTCCATCGTGGGGTGGATTTGTGCAGTCTTCTCAGTCTGTGTCTTTGCTGCTCCACTTAGCATCATTGTAAACCCAAAAACAAATCATTAGCTCTTCAAATATAGGTGCAGTAAGCTTCTTAACCATATAATAACGTTTTTTTTTTTTAATTTTACTTTATAAATTCCAGAGGCTCGTTATAAGAACGAAGAGTGTCGAATACATGCCATTCTCATTGTCATTCTTCTTGACTCTCTGTGCTGTGACGTGGTTCCTGTATGGTTTTTCCTTGAGAGATTACTACATAGCAGTAAGAAACCAACTTCTTCTCCAACCCCATTAAATTTGACCATATACTTTGTTTAAACATGTGCCATCCATACATTTTTGCTCAGATCGGTTATCATTTCTTAATTTTTGTTTTAGACGCCAAACATCCTGGGATTTAGCTTTGGGATGACTCAGATGATACTATATCTCCTATATCGTGGGGGAAGAAAAGAAATAATCTTGACAGAGAGCAAGTCACAAGAGCAATTAGGCAATGGTAGCCAAATGATCAGCACAGTAAATGAGACTCAAGAAGCTGCTATGAATAATGGAGTTGGAGGGATGATGATTAGCAACTCCCAGATTGTCCCAAGTGAATTTAACGTGTGAACCTCAAGGTAAAAGAGCAATTGACAATTTCTTGTAGCCTCTCCTGCTGGACAGAAAAAACTGAAATGTCGCCTTTCTTAATACTAGTTCAAGTTTTTTTTCAAGTATATGTATTTCAATAGAGCACGTACAAGTACAATCATACTCAATATATTTGAGAGCTTTGCTTTGCTGCTGCCATTTTAGAAGTTGCCATTATAGCCTCCATTTGACAGTGTGGTGGGAATCCTCTCACAATACCGAAACTTTCATTTTATAATTGGATCTACGAACTCTTAGGGATCCAATCACAAAATATAAAATTCTAGCGTGGGAGGACTCCCACCACGCACACAGATAGAACCTTAATCTCTACTCATCTTTTTCAACAGATCAGTCATTATTTACTCAATGCAGGAAACGAGTATAATGTTTGAGAATATAGAAATTGGGGGTGATGGAAGAAAACAAAACCGTTTCAATCAGATTGCGGGACTTTATAAATTAATTAGTTTTTAATCTTTTCCGACTTAAAAGTTATAGTCCCTTTGTCATGCTTACAATTTTTTTTTTTTTTTTGGTTGTAAAGTGGAAATGGGTTAACGTTATAATCTTGCAAATAACTGAGAAGAAAAATAAAGCAAGAGATGAAATGGAAGGTGGGATGAATGATGTCGGTATATATAACAGAAAAAATCCGTCGTTTTCTTTCAAGTAGTCAAATGGTTGATGATATAATAATACATTAATGGTGTAAGATTCTTCCATTCTTGAGATTTAAGTTGTACAACATTCTTATTTGTTTTCTTGAAGAAAAAATTTCTCATTCTTGATCAACAAACGGACAAAAATAAAATAAAATAAAATAACAAAAAGGACAGCTAATTATATCATACTGTAATATTGAAGTCAAAATTAAGACGTTAAGGTAGTATTTGGTTTCCGGAAATTGAATCATTTTCTATTTCAGAATATTTTATTTATTTTCTTATTTTTGTATTTTTAAAAAATAATTTTTATTTTCATTTATCAAATACAGTTTTTAGAAAAAAAAAAAAAGAAATTACAAAGCAAAAATATTTTCTCAAACCAAGCCTAAAGATTTAAGTATTTATTCCGTAATTTCTAAAGTTGTAGTTTTTTTTTTTTCTTAAAAAAAAAGTCATAGGTTTTTTTTATAAATAAAGTTGTAGTTTTTTTAATTAAAAGTACAAAAAATTATATATATATGTGTAATTTTTTATAATTTTTGCTTGTAATTAATCCTTTTAATTTTTAACCTTAATTATCGTAATCCCGAATTTATAAGTTGATTTTCATGCTATGCTCTACATTTATTATCTAAATCCACACTTATAAAACATGGTGAATTATTTACTCGTCACTTGAAATTTTTTTTTTAATTTCCTTTTTTTATTTACTAATTAATAGTCATTATTCTCCATGTATAAATTGTTCACAT